GCTTTCTTTATCGATCACTTATCTGCCAAGAGCTCAGACTGCCATATGCGATGCCCGATGAACTTCAGGAGATGAATGATTGATAACTCCGCGATGGAAAGTGTTCATATTGGCAGCCTAATAGCGGTGTTGATACACAGGGCGAGAGGACTTCTCAGTTCATGCAAGGAGATATTTACGAGAGTAAAGGAGAAATTGATCATGCTAGTTCGCACGTATCTCCATTGCAAAAAATGTGAAGTTCAGGCTACCAAAATAATACACAAGCTAGTAATGTGGTTTGTTTCTATCGCAAAGCATGACGATGATCGAAGATAATAGTGGACACCACGACGGCAATGCGAGGTGTGCCGTGGAAGCTTAAATCCAACGCTCGGGTTGCATATTGGACGACGTGCCACTTTACTTATGCACCGTGACTTAGAGGCGGCAGTATCCGGTTGGATACAGGTATAATTGTAGCAGCACAGCATATTTTATTCGTAACCTGAACATTTTTACTTATATTTCGCCATTCTGGCATATAGGTATAAACGTGCGATACGCTCAGTACAAATAGCGGACGCGGTCCCGTCAGTTGTTTACCGAAATGAGCTGATGGCCTCCAGCACGAAGCAGGTAAATATAAAATCTCAAGAGTATGAATATTATAGTTTTTGCTGTATTATAACTGATAAATGTTTTATTTTATTCAGTTCAAGTGGAGACCGCTATACACCGGCCGGAGCTGCGATATATCAATTCTCTTGCACGCTATCTGCGGCGGAGATGTCCGAATTGTGGAGCCAGAGTTCCAATTGATTTCTGTGGGATTGTAGAGATGCTGTACCGGACCGTGTGCTACGGCCATTTACAGCTCTCTCAGTATTATTCCAGATCCTGTCAGAGCGCAGTACAATCAGTCGGCGGCGCCTACATCGGCACCGGACTGACTGGGCGCCGTAGTTCCGTGCGGGCTAAATAGAGCAGGTGGGTCAGAGGTGGATTGCATACATGGATCACGAAGGCCCACAGCTGTAATTGACTTATACCACGTATATGCGTTGGTAATTGGGGTATCACACGTAATAGGATCACGCGTGACCCGACACGCCTTTAGCTGAGACACATGCCACGCCCACGACAGATAGTTTACATCCCTAGTGGGATGAACGAGGAGATTACGTAAGGTTTCTAGAGCTATAATTATAATATTTTTATTGAGTGATACTAATAAATTGTTTACCTACGCAGTCCGTGTTTAAATCAGATTATGTGATATTGATGCGCACTGACTGAGATTCAGATGGCAGTGGCGGTTAGGTTCATCCTTCAGCAGGATCAAGAAGAGCATAGCGCGCAGGTGTTCCATAAGATCACGTCGACGGTGTTGCAGGCCGTGAGGACAGGTCTCGCCTCATTTGACGGGCGTAGCTCGTATGTCGACCCGCGTGATGATGACGCCGGCACTTCGCAGCCGATGAGCGGCATTCGCATCGATGACGGCCGGCACTTCGCATGCCGATGACGGGCCGGCATTTTGCATGCCGATGGAGGCCGGCACTTTCACAGCTTCATACAACAGCCGGATACTCAGATTAGTTGCTGGTGCATGCAGCACCCCCGGAAGCCCAGGGGGCGGAAGAGCGAGCGGGGAAGGGGAAGAGAGGGAGGAAGGAGGGGAGGCTATATGGCGTTTGTATATGAACTCATTTTGATTAAATTTGTAACATTTTTTCCTGGAATTTTTCAAATCTAAAACTTTTAAGATCAATTGTTGTTTCATGATACGATATTCGTGTGTGTTTAATTCATGGTTGAATCATGTATATTTGTTGTTTTGCAAATTAAATGGCATATATATGAGTTCATAATTCATTGTTGAATCATGTATATATTGTTTGTTGCAAATAAATTGACATATATATGAGTTACCATGTAAAATACAAAATACCTGGCCAAGCAGCTGTGCTGCTGGGTGACCTGCAACTTCACGGGATTTCAAGTCCGTGAAGTTGCCAGTGCAAATTTTCCATGGACTCGATCTGCTTGGCAATTTGTGACTGCAACTTCACGGAGAGTTGATAATCCCGTGAAGTTCAGTGTCAAGCAATTATGGCGCAGAGACCGATTCTCTGGAATTTTATAGCCCAAAATTAAAGCTTCACGGGATTGAAACTCCCGTGAAGATTTTTTTCGCTATTAAATTCAAGGGGAGTTGAACTCCCGTGATGATTTCGGAAAGATTGGGTTTTTACAAAACCGACCTGTTTTCAGCGCTGGCTGAAAACAGGTCGGTTTTTGGGCCATGATTTTGAAAAGGGGTCGGTTTTTGCAATTAAATGGTGTAAAAGGGTTGGTTTTGAAATTTGTCCGTTATATATATATATATATATATTATGGCCGAGACACCCTTGGGGTGTCTCGGCCTGGCCGAGACACCCCTGGGGTGTCTTGGTTTTGCCAAGACACCCCCGGGTGTTTCGAGCTTGCCGAGACACCCCCGGGTGCCTCAGTTTGGTCCGAGGCCTTCCGGGTGTGTTTGCCGTTGATTCGTCGTCCCAACTCGGATTTGAGTGATTTCGGATGCGTTGGGATCTTGGCGAAGAGCTCTGTTAATCCCGATGGTTGACTTCTCAGTGGAGTGAACGGGACACGAAGGGTGCTGCTCCTTTTGCAGCGGTCGCGGGGTTTCCGGTCAATCCGTATCCCCGTGATTCTGACATTCTGTCGGCTCACATAGTCCGTCGGTTCGCTTCAATCGTTCACCGGCATCATTTGAACCCTTGTGAACCGGGTAGTGACGTTCAATCGTCGATCGTTAATACCGAGCTGTGTGCGGGGACCTATTGGCAATTTTTTGATGCCTACAGACGCGTCGGACAGACGAACGCGTTATACCTGAGAACCCATGTGAGCAGCCGATAGGTTACTCCGACGGCAACGTCGATGAGTTGTACTATCAGGCTGGGGGTGTGGATGAATCTCGAAAGAGAAACACCCGGGGAGCGGATTCTCACTGTCCGTGTACCAAACTTATCAGGGCAGTATTATCAGCCTGTAGCTGCCCCAAGACCGCTCCACAGAGGGTCTCGATATTCGAGGGAATCTCCGATGGACCGACAAAGCCCAAATCAAGGCGTTCCCACCAAAGAGGATCGATTGCTCGAGATGATGAACCCCTAGAAGTGACTATCAACATGGTCAACAAGGGAAAATCCCCAATCATTTCAGGTGATTCCGACCCTAATTTCTCTTTGGGAAGCAGGGTCAATTCGGGAATAGCTCAGCTTCATCTAGAAGCCGTCGGATATAACAATGACCATGGGGTCCATGAAGGAGTCCATTCCGATGATGAGTTCTCGGATTCTCATTCCGCGCTCGCCTCCGACGACACAACATCTAGCATAGGGCAAGCTCGAGAGGTGTGCATGGCCAACACTAAACAGATAGCCAAAATCATTGAAGAGGCCCTGGCTAAGCAGAAGGAAATCTTCAAGTTTGAAATGGAGATGGCTATGCAAGAGATGAGACAAATGCACGATCAACGAATCCGAGCTTTGTCAAATCAGCTAGTGGAATTAGCACACGGTCCGGTACATGCATCTCTACAATCTCCCAACAGATCAATGGAACTCTGGCTCTCCACAATTCGGGACAATCTCGGCAGATAGGTGCAAGAGAATGTATATCGAGCTCCGGCGGTGTATAGGGTCTCCACTTGAACTGAAATAAAATAAAACATTTATCAGTATAATACAGAAAAACTATAATATTCATACTTCTTGAGTTTTATATTTACCTGTTCGTGCTGGAGGCCATCAAGCTCATTTCGGTAAAACTGACGGTGACGCGTCGCTGATTTGTACTGAGCGTATCGCACGTTATACCTATATGCAGAATAGCGAATATATAAGTACAAATATTCAGGTTACGAATGAAATATGTGTGTGTACAATTATACCTGTATGCCAACGGATACTGCCCCTCTAAGTCACGGTGCATAAGTAAAGTGGGTCGTCCAATATGAATGCGCTCCCATGACCAAATCTGTATCAACGTACAGCATCCCTTGAATTCTTTATTCTGCATCAGAGATACTCTACTCAATTCTCGATACAAATATGCCAACACCGCACTGCCCCACGATAGTGCCCCGCATACACCAAAATCCTCCAGCAGTGGCAGCCATCGTGCATGTACGAGAGTCTTGCTCGCATCAGGAAATAGTACGCACCCTATCATGTGCAATATGTATGCACGAGCATGAAACTGGAGCGTCTCATCAGAGGCATCCTCTGGTATGTCGCCCTGAAATGTCTGACGAAGCCACGATAGCTTCATCGCACCACTCCTCAAGTCGGGAACCTGTCCAAGTAGCCGGGCACATACCTCCGGCCAACTATGATCGTCGGTGCCCGTAACTACCGGTCCATCAATCCGGAGCCCAAGTATGACGGCCACGTCCTGTAAAGTGATCGTGCACTCCCCTATATGCATGTGAAAGGTGTTGGTCTCTGGCCTCCACCTCTCAATCAAAGCAGTGATAAGCGGCCAATCAAGCCTGATATAACGAATCGTCGAACACGGTCGAAAACCGGCCTGAGCGATCAAAGCTAGTACCCTCTCATCCTCTATGACCCATGCCGAATGACTATGGGAATGCTCGATCATCGTGTACTCTGGTACGGGCTGCACATAAAACGAGAATCAGTTTTAAGTATATTCATTAAAAAATTACATTAATCGAAGAAATATATATCTAATTTATTCGTATTACCTCTCCCGAACCAATATGGTCTGAACAATGACTCGCCTGAAGGTACAAAACGTCGGGATTCTCCGGTCCCGGATCCATAATGAATAGACCTGTGATTAAAATATGAGCATATATACAGAGTGCATGGGTGGCGGGAAATGTCGTTGGAGTGCTCTTGGAATTCCTTTCATCCTATCGGATATGAATGTAATATGCCGCGTCCCCACACTAGGGATATGATATCTAATGCATGCAAAAAACCAAGCCCAATTCTCTGTATTTTCAACATCAACCACTGCGAATGCTAAAGGAAACAACCCGCCATCCGCGTCAACTCCGGTTGCAACAAGCAAAACGCCTTTGTATTTACCATATAAGTGAGTTCCATCAATGCTAAGAAGAGGACGGCAATGACGAAACCCCTCAATACAGGGCCCAAATGCCCAAAATACACCGGTGAACCGCCGTTCTCCGCCATCAACGGGGTCCGAAGATACTTCGTAGACAGTCCCCGGATTTTCTCTTTTGAGTGCTTCAAGATAATGAGGTAAGATCTCATACGATTTATCCCAATCCCCGAATATTTTTATCATCGCCTTCCTCCTAGCATTCCAACACTTGTGATATGATACATCCAAGTTGGTGGCTTTATGCACTAAAAGACGGATATCTTTCGGCCTTAGATCAAGATCCTCCCTCAGATGCGGTAAAATCAATCGATATATAAAAGAAGAGGACGCATTCTTGTTATTCATCTCTAATCGAGGATTGCTACAAGTGTGGAGTCCATTGTATGCCGTGATTTTGAATTGCCCACCTACTCTTGAACCCGAGCGTGAATTAAGCTTCCACGGACACCTCGCATTGCCGTCGTGGTGTCCACTATTATCTTCGACATCGTCATCTTTGCGATAGAAACAAACCACATTATAGCTTGTAGTATTATTTTTGGTTGGCCTGAACTTCACATTTTTTGCAATGGAATACGTGCGAATAGCATGGATCAATTTCTCCTTACTCTCGTAAAGATCTCCCTTGATGAATGAGAAGTCCTCGGCCTGTGTATCAACACCGCTATTAGTGCCAATAGGAACACTTTCCATCGCGGAGTTATCAATCCATTCATCTCCTTGAAGTTCATCGGGCGGCGGATCCTCTAAGCCGACATACTCATTATTAACATAAGCCCCGTCGATGTGTTGGATTTCCCCGTCATCACGATCTATCACGGTCATGCTATTAATTTGTAATCCCTCCTCTTCATCATCATTCTCGGATTCAACACTTGCATTATCTTCTTGAATTCCCGTGTTAGTATCGAAAGCATTCGAAGTGCCCACGAACGAAGGACCGCTCATGTATTGTGATTGTGTCCAACATTCATCTTGTTGAGGAGATAAAAAGCCTACAGAATCAACTTCAGGATCCTCCAACATGCGGGAATACATTCCTTCGTAGTTCAACGATTTGCCCAAATCTCTCTGATGTTTTTCAATGAACAATTCGACCGAACGCTTCTCGTCGTGTAAGACATGAATGAGACCCATATCGTAGTCACTTGATATTTGAATGCCACTTGTTCTGTTCTCCACAACAGGATAATTGCAAACCACACTGAGGTGATACTCACGTGAGTTAGTTAATGTATATATAGATAGAGAGAGAGAGAGAGAGAAACTTATGTCAACTTAAGTGGACGTCCACTAAGTTTCTTATCCATTGATGATCACTTAATTGAGCTACATTGTGGATGATCCGCTCCGTTAAACTTGATCTACAAATTCTAAAACCCCAACACACCAAATTTGGGGTGAACCCGTCGTGGTTTGACCCTCCGTTGAGCCATGTAAAAAGTTCCATTCATTCGAAACCGTTAAAATTGATACGAGTGGATGAAAGATCAAACGGTATCAGAGTCGAGGTTGTGGTCAAGTAAAAATGAAGTCCAATGTAAAGCCTGTCAGGATGATTAAAAGTTAAACCAAGTCAAGTTAATTAGCCTAGAAGTGGTGGAAGATCCTATGAACATTTGTTAGCCATGTAACAAATGCATGGTTACCAATTCAAATCTATTTGTAAATCCCATGGAAGATATGATCTGGTTAATTAGCCTAGAAATGGTGGAAGATCCTATGGATGTTTGATAGCCATGCATGTGACAAATGCATGGTTCCCAATTCAAACCTATTTGCAAATCCCATGAAAGATTGAACTATGTTCACAATTGAATGAGAGATTGATAGATTTCATACGCGAGTACCGTCTCACATTGGAAAAAGATAAAAAAGAGTTTTATAGATTCAAAATGGAGTTGGGGACAAAATACCAATAAAGCTTACTATTTTAGATTAAAGTTAGCTCATAGCCTATATTATTTAAGGCTCGTTAACTCTTTAGCTTGGTCTGATTACTCCTCAACAGCATGGATATATTTCTATGCTCCATTGTGATAGACAGAGCTCATATTGGTTTGTATAAGCAGGATTCGAATTTCAAAACCTAGCACGGAAGCATGCATTTTAGGGTGGAAATTGGTCAAAAAAATTTATCTAATACTCGGATATTATTCGACTAACCATCCAAATACAATTTAGTTGGAGACCATTTAAGAGAAATAATAAAATCACATTAGCCGCGCATAATATATATACGATTGATCTTAATATATAGGTTGATTTTTGTATAAATGTGAAGAAATATATAGCGAAATAGACCATTTTTATGAAATATATAGCGAAATAGACTACTTTGAAAAATAATTAGCAAAATAGACATCTTTTGAAAAAAAAAGGTCGATTTTGAAAAACAAGGCTCAGAAAACATACGGGACTACTAGTCCCGTATGTTTAGAGCCAACTAATTACGGATTAGTGACTCAGAAAACATACGGGACTAGTAGTCCCGTATGTTTTCTATATAGAAAATTTCACTAATCCGTGATTAAAACATACGGGACTACTAGTCCCGTATGTTTTCTGAGCTGTTTTGCAAAATAGACCTCTTTTTGGCCTGTTGGCCAAAAAGAGGTCTATTTTGCTAATTATTTAGCAAAACGGTTTATTTTGCTAAATAATTAGCAAAAACGGTCTATTTTGCAATTTTTCCCAAATGTGAAAGCAAGCTAGATCGTGGTTAGTTACGGTCATCCATATATAATACTATAAACGAATAAATGCCTTGTGGCCAAATTTTTGTAAGCATGCATATATTTAGGTTATCTCGATGAGTTTTAACTTCAAACAGAAGATATTTATGCAATTTAAAAATTCGTATTTTTTTTATTCGTATATTTAAAAAGAATATATATATGTTTCCAGAAAGTATGAAAGGAAAAGAAAACGTATGACTTTGACTCAAGGGATAAGGATGAACGTTACAATAATGGATGTTAAATATTAGTTACTTCTAATCTAAAATTAAAGCAAAAGAGAAATTACCTAAAAAGTTAATAAATATATAATTTAGTTCCAAATATAGATTTGAAGTAATTCAAACCTATGATTAAGATAAAGGATGGGAAAAAAGGAACTACGTCTTTTTTTTTATTTATAAAGAAGCTAGCTTTAGGAGTTAAGATTAACATCAGAAACACAAATCTGAAACTTAATTTATTAGCTAGGGATGCCTAAATTTAATAGGAGGAAGAAAATTAAGGATAAGAAACCTTAAGTATGACATATAATCTAATCTATTTCCAAAAAAAAAAAAAGAATTCTAAACTCTTTTCCTCCCTTATAATTACATGGGCGAAGTGTATCCGTCTCCAATATTTCTCGCATCCAAACTCCCCTAGCTTCTTTCTCTCTCCAATGGCCACCGGGAAGAAAGTAACAGAAGTGTGGAAACACAGCGTTGTCCACGAATTTCAGGCGATCTCCGAGCTCGCCGCGTCGCTGAATACTCGGTATACGTCTCTCTCGATACGGAGTTGCCAGGCTTCGAGGGATATTTGGCGATCGACGTGTGTGATCTTAAGAGCATGGCGAGGTGGTGCGGTCTCAGCGAAAAGCTCGGATTGATGAAGATCGCGGAGAAGCTCGGGATTGAACGGACAGGGCATCGTCATCATCAAGCCGGGCACGACAGTATGCTGATAGGCGAAGTGTTTTGGGCGATGAAGAAGAGGTTTGGTCTCAAAGAAGATGGCTTGGTTGGGAGTCTATACGGGGTAGAGACGAGCGGGTGTGCACCGATGAGGACCCCCCCATGGTCTTGTTGCTGCTGCTGCCGGATTCAACTTTCAGAGGCAACGCTATGGATATTTCTACGATCCATGGCCTTATTATTATAGCTAATTGCAGTGCGTGTATGCTAAATGACTTTTTTTTATTATTTTTTTTTGTTTTTGTTGCAAGATGGAGGTTGCTAACATAAGAGAGAGAGAGAGAGAGGGGTACCCCCTGGTTCTCTCAATTGTTGTGCGCGGCGCGGAAGCCAGACAACCAAACAGGCGTGCTTCGAGAGCCAAATCAAACTTTCAGAGGCAACGCTATGGATATTTTTATGCTCCATATCCTTATGCTAAATGTTTTTTTTTTTTGCATCTCCTACTGTAATTTGAGAACAAAAAGGAAGCACACAAAAAAACTGAGTTGCATTGAGCAATATATTAGTAACGCAGAATTATCGAAATAAATAACGGTCGCTCTGCAACTTAAAATTTGAGCACTCTTTCCCTATGGACCAAATCGGAATTCGAATCCGAATTCATTAAACTACTAGCAAAAAACCCCCGCGTTACGCGGGGAAAATGAAGAATGCATACTCACTACACCATGACAATTAAAATGTCCTGGAGAAATCTAGTAACAACACACACAGTAACCTTCTCGATCTTAAATTCACAAAATTCACCACCACAATTTGAGAACTCGAAGTAGATGTTCCTATATTAGCACCACCACAAGCAGCCGATATCTAGAGTGGCGAGTCGCCGACATTGCCTAGGAAGCAACTGAGAGAAGAACAATTAAAATCATAAGATTAGCCAAGAATTCAGATGAAAGCTTAAATCTAATCCCAAGAGGAGACTTGCTGCTGTAGAGCGTGAGAGCAAAGAGAGAAAGAAAACAAAGTGAAAATGGAAAAGAAAAATAAGTAAAAATCGCTCCTTTTAGGGGTTGTTTGGTTCGTTTC